AATGGTGTCTTGGGTGTTCCACCAGTCTTTATCAGACCAGTAATGATGGTCGTTTCTCACTATTTTGAATTGTATTTTACCTTTTTCTCCCCCTCTGTCCAAGATCCTTTTTGGGAGCTCCATCAGTGCTATCAGTGATAAGTTACAATTGGCCATCAAAGACGTAGCTGTTTTAGCAGTTTGTCTTCAGTGTCTTATTTCAATAAATATATGCATTTAAAATTTTCTATTGTACACATAATTTATTCTAATGGTTTTATTAGTCGGCAATAAGGAAAAAAATTAGTAAGCAAGTTCAACAAGGTCACAGAATAAAAGATAATGTAAACGTCATTTGTATTTCTGTATCGGATCAATGAATATGCTGAATCAAAAATAAAAAATGCAATGCCATTTACAATTGCTCAAAAACTGATGTCGTTGTTCTGTTAGTTGGTTCCAACTGGCAGTGACCCTATCTATGTACGACAGATGGAACACTGCCTAGTCCTACACTAGCCTTACAATTGTTTTGTCTGTGCTCATTGTTGCAACCATAAGGCACCATTGTTCTGGAAGGCCACAGTACTTTCAAGATTCTTTGCCAATACTATAATTAAAGTGTATCAATTCTTCTTCGGTTTTCCTTATTCATAGTCCAGCTGTCCCAGGCTTCTGTGGTAATTGAAAATACAGTGACCAAGGGCAAGGTAACTGAGAGGAATTACCCAAACCAGAATGAAGGCTGAACATGGCAATGGGACAGGAGGAAAGCATAAAGAAATAGAGGAAAGTAGTGGGAGGCAAAGGGCATACATAGAAGCCTAAATATGGACATGTACATATGTAAATATATTTAAAATTATGGGAGAAACGGACCTAAGTGCAAATAATTATAGGTTTGGTAGTAGGGTGGCAGGTGGACATTGAGCCTCCTCATGCGCATTCCCTTAATACAAGAGCACCTTGCTCAGCTAAATGGTCATTTCATGAAACCTACCTTCCCAACATGATCGCTGAAGACAGACGTGTGCATAAGCAAATGTGGTGAAGAAAGCTGATGGTGCCTGGCTATCAAAAGATATAACATCTGGGATCTTAAAGGCTTGTAGGCAAACAAGCGACCATCTAGCTCGGAAACAACAAAGTCCATAGAGAAGAAGTACACAAGCCTGTGCTAACACGAGGTGTTGAAGGGATCAGGTAGCTGACACCAAAGAACAAAAACCATCATTGTGTGACCACCTTCCCCACATAAACGCTGAAGACGAAT